TATATAAAAGGAATGAGAATAAAATGTCAAAATTTAGATAACTAGATAAAGGTATAATATTGCACAGTAAAAACGTTATTGTACTGAGAAATGATAAAGTCTAATAGACAGGCAAAATGGATTTCTGGTGACGTACATATATGCATTTTATACACACGTCATTTCCTTCAGTGTGTGTGTGCGCGTGTTTGCATTTTGTGTGACAGGAAATTACAAGCATGTTTTTTTTTAGAAATATGATGATGTGTTTTACTCCACCATGGTGACAGAAGCTTACACTCACCTGTTCGCACAATTTATTTCCACAGATGAGTGCGACAGTGCGTCAGCCAGCAGTGTGATCCACCATATCCTACAATCCTGGAAGATACATGCGGCATAGTCTTTATCCGAGGCCTGCTCAACACATTCCACATTCCTCACAGATACCATCTATTATCGTCTGACATCATCTCTAGGTTACTAGTTTACTGACCCATTAACATTCCATGCTAAATGCCTCCTGCGTAAAACACTTGACTAGTTACTTGCCTTCTAGCAGATGCTTTTACATCCAGAATGGTTTTCAGTGCATTAATTGTAGGGACAATTCGCCTGGAGCAACCCAGGGGTTAAGAGCCTCGCTCATTACACATAACTGAGGTCTCAGGAACTCTTCCATTCTTCGGAAACACCAGATTAGATGAGCAGTCAAGTTATATATATATTACATAATATAGTAAACTGTAGTAAACTTTGTAAGATGTTCTACCAGATTTTTCTTACAAATTCAAGACAAGCAGCAAAAAAAAAAAAAAAAGGGGCAGTTAGTGTCATTCCCTGAAGCAGTACAATACAAATACAAAATGAATGTGGATCGTTCATTACAGCTCGGATTATTGCAACATAGTCTCATTGAAAAACATGCCTCGATCTTCATTTTTTACAAAACTCCAAAAACGTACCTATACATACAGTACAATTCACTGCAGTTTCCAACTAAAATTAACACCAGATGCAGTAAAACGGCAACAACTTTTTTTCCTTATCACACAAATTATGATTTTTAACTAAAAGGATTAGATTAATAAGGAAACGTTGTCTCATTGAAAAACATGCCTCGATCTTCATTTTTTACAAAACTCCAAAAACGTACCTATACATACAGTACAATTCACTGCAGTTTCCAACTAAAATTAACACCAGATGCAGTAAAACGGCAACAACTTTTTTCCTTATCACACAAATTATGATTTTTAACTAAAAGGATTAGATTAATAAGGAAACGTTCCTTGCAAAATACCATGTTATGATCTCAAAATGTTTTTACCATAGAGTATGATTAGTAAACTTATAAATGTTGATGTCTGCATCACATAACCAGCTCTATATACTGTATATATGGCTTTTCTGACATAGTAAACTTACTCGGTAGCTCACCTGGTACAGAACAGCACTTGCAATGGACTGAAAAAAGGGTGTTGTATTTACATGTTTTAATCATGTACTTTGTTTCCACATGAGTTAATGAAGCAAGCACAAATGTAATTTGTTCACATAACTTAAAAAGCATCAAATTAAATTATGTTGAAGTGACCAAATTAAGTAGTCTCAAAGTGATTTTATATGGCTCTGAAAATGTAATACATTCAAGTTTGTATATAAATATATATATATTACTGAATTATAATATAATACTAGCTAGCCAGCAAACTGTTAATGAGCAACAGCACACATTAGCATGCTAAATCAGCTCCATAATTAAAGCAGCATAGTCAACAATACTGTCATTACTCTATACACAAAACTCTTCACCACAACAGTAACTCAGTGTAACTGAAACTGAGATTATCGAACATTAAACACTATCAAGTTTCCCCTTATTTTGCTAAAAAACACAAAAATATAACAGTTAATTTAAATATTTTTATTCTCCCTATAGCATGTAAAACATGCCAGGAACTATAATTTCAGTTATAACAAAAATAATCATTTTCAAGTACTTGATTGATTCACATTTGTCTTACATTAGTAGATTGTACATTTTATAGAATTACATTAATTGAAAGCAAGAAATCAAGTTTAGAAGAAAAACACAATTTTGTTTTGTACTGTAGATTACAAATAATGTTTTAGTAAATCGTTATGCATTATAAATTGACTCTCTTCTTAATGAAAATACCAGAGATGGACTGAAGAAAACAGATAAACCATACATTGTTGCAGTCATGTGTTTTTCGTCTTTATGTTTGATCAGTCAAAACGTTTCTATCTTCTTTTTATTCAGCAACATAGCTGGATGACTTTGTAGGGATTTCCTGGAAGGTCATCAGTTATATTACTTCAATGAGGCATATTTGAACTTTCTGCATGAGGGCGCCCTCCAAATACAAGTATAAATGAAACAAACATTACATGTTGCTATGGCACTCCATAATAGTTACATTAAAAAAAAAGGAAAAATAAAAAGCTTTTTCAGTAAACATATGCAAATCCATAAGTTTTTCCCCCCAGTGTTTTACCACCTCAGGAAGTTTTTATTAAATGTAAAAATATACCTCACTCTCATGTTCTATGCTTGTTTATCTATTAATAAAACTATAAAAATGTCATACCCTTAATGTTGTGCCAGTGGTATTGAAAATGGTATCGAATATCTATATTTTTCAAGCTATCGTATTGAAGATAGAAATTCTAGTATTGTGATAACACTATGCTGAAACACGAGTCAGATGAATCGAAACATCTGTCAAAGAACTCAATATGGTCTTGTAAAGGTAAACTAAAATGGCATGCTTCAGCAAATATGTTTTTATCCCATGTTTGCTTATGTTAACACTATTGGTTAGGTTTAGGGTAGGTGGTGTGATGTTTTCAAACACAATTAACCTTTTGGCACCACTAACTGTATCTTTCCTTTCCGAGCTGCTGTGACAAATACGTGGCAACAATGAATGTAATAAACCATTGCCAGATTCACAGTCATCTGTTTTGGATGAAACTGAAGATGCTTTTAGTGCCACTCACCGGACATTTCATTTCACCGGAAAATGTCACGAAATGTACAAAGCAATATAATATAATTTTGCATAAACTTTGCCAAAGGGACATATTCCCAATGAGCATTTGTTGGATAATTTGGAGTTTGATGAGAAATCAAACAATTCGATGTGAAATGTCATTGAAATCTCTGATATATGATGACAGACTTTCCTATTTTTAATCTTGTCTATGAGAAACAATTACACATAGACTGTCCACTGCTGTCCATGAGGCCTGTAGCATCTCATTCTCATGTGTGGTATTGTTTAACACAGGGTGGAGCTGGAGAGGAGCAGTCTGGTGACCTTTGGGGTCATGGTGTCAGGCTTGTTTAGTCTGCGTTTTTCTGATCACTCCTCAAGAGACAGACACAGAGCTCGCACCTGACAAAAGCACACACAGAGAGAGGACCAAGCATGATGGAAGAGTGGGAGCGTCTAAACGCCACTTGTCAGCTTATGAGTAAGGCTTTGTCACACATGAATACTGCAAAGGTGGAGATGGGGGGGATTTTTGTGTTTATGTGTGTGTTGACTCCTCAAGGTCACAGAAAACCCACTACACAACGCCTTCTCTTACACCAGCTATATCTGTGTGGGAAAATTTCCAGAGCGTGTACACAAAACTATTTTTATTGATCACTTCTCTCATCTATTTCTCTCAAGGTTGTGTAAACTCCCACACACCAAAAAACCCAACCCTAGTTTCTTTCTTTCGTCTCTTTCTAACAGATAACCTTTGCTCAATGCAATTTGCAGGTCAGATAAAAACAAGGAAATAAAGTAGTAAAAAAACAACCAAAGCCTTTGGACCTTCTATATTGATGGTAACTGCATTCTCATTGGTCAGTCATATATGTATTTATTTATGAACCAAATAAATGGGTATGAAAATGGGCATTCAAAGGGCAACACTCTTCAACAAGCCGCATTCTTTGAAGTATCGTTTTTACATTCTAAAGTAATACTTTAGGTTAGTAGATGTTCAAATTCTTAAACCTAAATGTGCGCAAAAGCTTGCATTAGCATTAGATAGTGACATTCAGTGTACTCAGTTAGCTATGTTTTTATCCATGTACACTAATGTCCTCTGCTCATCTAAGACATTCCGCAGTCGCCACAAGCAATACAAATCTACTTAACTGAATGGTTTGGTCTTCCCTTCTCTCTGACTCCCATTCATCAAACTCTGGAAAGCCACTTTGCATATTGTGATGGCTTCTTTATTGTTCTGCATTAGCTTTGTAAGAAAAAAAGTGGGAAATCAATGCAAAGTTGATTACTGTAACTTGCTTATGTCCATTATAGTCAGTGTGAAGAATCTCATCATGTGGTTTACCCATTTTATATTCCACAAAGGAACATTAAAACATTGAATTTATGACATGTACCACAGCTCAGTATTTTGATATGTCCAGGCTATGGGATTTCTTGTCACATATACATGCAGTACAATGTTTAGATGGACATTATTAAAGTAACTACTGTACTGCTCACACTGTTCTAGAGCGAGCTTAAGATTCATGATCCAAATAATCAAGTATAGTAGTAAAAATGTGGGTTATATTGTATGCATCTTGCTCTGCGTTTTATTCATGTAAGTGCAGGTGGCATGTTGTTTTTGGGAAATTAGCCATCTATCCAGGGATTATCAAGTTCATCATGGTTCAGCCAACAAAGTCAATCATTTGTTTCGTAAAAGATTTCAGTGGTATTAATGTGTATCTGTTTTAAGTATATTTAGATAAGAAAAATATGCAAGATCAACTAAATGCTCTTGTGTTATTGCATGTTCTTGTCAGGCTTGTTGAAAAACTCTGACTCCACCTGCTGCTGGTGGTGTATCATTATCTTTAAACTTCAATTGAGGATGTGTACTTTAACACAGGTTTACTTCTTTTTTTTTTTTTTTTTGTACATACAATTTTTTGCTTTAGATTCATTAATATCACAACTAGAACAAGCAAAGACAAATCGGGAAACTTTTATTTCAGTAGTTTGGCTGGTAGAAAAAAATATGAATACAAATATGATAAGCTGTAGTCTGAGCATTTCTGAATGTATAGACTTTTGTCTATTTACATCCTGAACAATAATGAGTGCTATTCTCTATACAATGAGTTTCCCTGCCTATCGGGGGAACTTATATATACTCATGTATAGTATATCCACACTCACACTCACTAAAAGGCAAAATAATCTTTGTAAAATCTGCCATTCACACCCACATAAAAAGATTAAAAAGCCAACTGTTTAAAATAAGTATGAGCAGCCACATAAAATAACAAGATAAATTGGTTTTCTGTATATGGCGAAACGCTCTAGAAGATGTTGGGCAGCAAACGGTAGGGCACGGCTGCGGTGTAGCACTCCCAGTCCTTGCCGTACTTGTTGCTACAGCGGTGCTCATCACGAATGCAGCGGTGCACCAGCAGGATGGTCATGTAGACGATGTAAAAATAGGGCAGCAAGTGCTCGCCACCGCAGGCCAAGCAGTACGCCAGTGAGCCCATCAGGTCGCCCGTGTAGTTCATGTGACGGGCCACCCCCCAAAACCCAGAGGTCATCAGTTTGCTCTTGTGAATCCCGCCATCAGCCGATCGGTATGAACACTCGATGAAGGTGGGCTTCTTACCCCAGATTTTGCAGTTACCCTCTGTGCGACGGAAAAGGTCTTTCTGGTGGTTGGTTGAGCGGAAGATGTAGTAGCCCACCAGACCCAGGATGAGGACACCTGCAGCATGAGGCGTAGAAAGCTGGATGGGGTTGTAGACCAAGTAAAGGCCCTAAAGAACAAGAACATGAACATGATGGCATAAACAGCATTACTCCTACTGAAATCAATGAAGCTGTGTACGAGGTAAAATAGTGAGTCTAGTATTGTAGATGTCACATCCAGCACATATACTGTTCAGATACGCACCTGTAGTGTGTAGAGGAAAGGAAGCCACACGCAGTCTCCCCAGCCCAGGTACCAGCCAAAGTGATCATGGCAGATGTCTATAGTCTTGAGGTACCAGGCTTCGTTCCAGAAGAAATCCAATACATATACGGCCTTAGAGAAGAAAAGGGTCAAGGTTGTGATATGAAGCAGTGAAAGGAATAATATGAATGAAATGAAAAACACTTTAAAAATCAATCAATACTGAAAAAAAAAATGTTGTTGAATCTAGGCAGTGTATAAGCAATAGTAAAGCACTACTAAGTTGTTTTATAGTGCCACCTAGTGGCTACATGACTCACTTGCAAAACATTGACCAGGATCATAGAGTTTGTCACATAACCATACAGCTCCTGCTGTTTAGCAGCGTAGGATAAGTTAATCAGGGTCCACACCACTATACCCGGCCGGCCATTGAAGAAAAGCTTGAAGTCAAACCATTTTCCTATGCGAGGGTTGAACTCAATTCCCATCATGTAGTTGTAGAAGATGTTGCCTGTGAATTTACTGCAAATCAAACAAGAATAAGACAGAATCTATTTAGTGTTTACATGTATTTTACTCTTCGGACAATCCAATGAAACAAACGTCATGCCTTTTTTGTGAAACTACTGAAACCCACACACACTCAGATATAGTTTGTGATTAAGAACCAATAAAACTGGTAAAAACGACTCACTGTATGCACAGTAAATAATCAAAACGTGTTTTCTCACCAGTCCTCTGGGTTGGTAGGGAACAGATAAGCCTTAATGAAAGCCAAAGTGGACACGGCATAGCCGAGGATGTTGGTGCACCATAAGAGAGGGATCCAGTTATCAATGATGATGGTTGGTGAAAACCAGTGTAAGTATTGTGCATTAGCCACCCATAAAACATGAGTGATTATCCAGCACTGCAGACCATTGACTTCATACTTATTAATCAGACCTGAGAGAGAGCAACACATTTATATTACATGAATTTAATAAGGTTTTGATACGTTTCACCACACAAACCAATAGCGAGTCATTTGAGTAAATCTGCATTTTTTTTTTACATTTATATTTTCGTCCTTATTATGCATTTTTTTACCTGCTGGTGTTCGGGCACCATCCTGCACTCCTCCCACGTAACCTGGAAGAATCTTATGCATGATATCTGGAACGCACATGTACAGCACCACCTAGTGTAGACACAACCAAATCTCATAATTCAAGCTAAACCTATTCAAATATTTCTCACTATTAATGTTATTACGCATTTTTTTCATCTGTTATTCTGCACACCTGAAATGTGACCCAGATTGCGTAGATCTTGGCAGCAGCCCATGTGAACGAAGGGGCACGGTTCCAGATGGTGAGCAGGGTGGCTTCACCGTTGTAGAGGTCCAGTATTGGGTGGCTGATGGAGCACTGGTACTGATCACATGCCATGATGAAGAAAAAGACGATGAAGGGGGCAAAGCACAGCAGCAGGATCACAGCTGTCAGAGAGAACCAATCCACCTCCCTACAGAGATCAACAAATTAGCAATATGAGTCAAAAGTACAAGTCAAATATGTGACCCTGGACCACAAAACCAGTCATAAGCAGCACAGGTATATTTGAAGCAATAGCCAACAATACATTGCATGGGTCAAAATGATCGATTTTTCTTTTATGCCAAAAATCATTAGGATAATAAGTAAAGATCATGTTCCATGAAGATATTTTGTAAATTTTCTACCGTAAATATATCAAAACTAAATTTTTGATCAGTAATATGCATTGCTAAGGACTTCATTTGGACAACTTTAAAGGCGATTTTCTCAATATTTTGATGTTTTTGCACCCTCAGATTCCAGATTTGGAAATAGTTGTATCTCTGACAAATACTGTCCTATCCTAAGAACCATACATTAATGCAAAGCTTATTTATTCAGCTTTCAGATGATGTATAAATCTCAATTTCAAAAAAATCGACCCATTTTGACCAAAATGACTGGTTTTGTGGTCCAGGGTCACATATGAGTACTAATATCAACATCACTGAGTATCAGTATCAATATGAGTAAAATCTGAAGAACTGATGTCAATGTCAAGTAAAGTCCCATTTCAGTTGTGGTCAAAATGACCACAAAAAAAAAAGTGGTTGTATACAAATATAGATCAAAATTGCTACTAGGGAAAACTCAGCAGTTGGTGGATATTGGTAAGGTCATGTCCTATCTATCTATTAAATTCTGCACTGCTGACTACTCTTATGACAATTCTAAGGTTTTACAGTGTTGTAGCTCATTGCAAATGGACAATTTGAAAAGAGCAACCACAATGTTGTTTATTTTTTTCCATTTATGTTGCATAGTCATACAGGTTTGCAACGACATGAGGGTGAGTAAATAATAAATGATTCACCCATAGTTTAATTTAATTCTAATATGTTTGGTAAAATATGCCTTTAATGTTACCTGTACAGTACTTTATTTATTTTTATCTTGTTTTATGTTGTTGTAGGCAGAATTACTCATATAAGGACCCTGATAAGTTCTAAGTAATTGCTTTGCATTATTGTAGACAATGCATTCACAACGTCAATGTAATATTCATTTGTACTTTCACTTGTACTGAGCTTTTGAGTGGCTCACACAAACACTAGTGACTCAACACAGAAATAGTACTTTAAACCCATTTAATTCAATACAATTCATCAGTTATTTATTTAAAGGTGTCATATGACGTTGCTAAAAAGAACATTATTTGGTGTATTTGGTGTAATGAAATGTGTTTATGCGGTTAAAAAAACACATTATTTTCCATATAATGTACATTATTGTTTCTCCTCTATGCCCCGCCTTTCTGAAACGCGTCGATTTTTACAAAGCTCATCGGTCTGAAAAAGCAAGGTGTGCTCTGATTGGCCAGCTATCCAGTGCGTTGTGATTGGCCGAATGCCTCAAGCGTGTGGCGGAAATGTTACAACCCTTACCATACTGTGATGCCGTCTCCCAGCAGGATGAGACAAAACCAATAAAACCCATTACAAATGAGGCATTTGTTGCATCCAGTAGAGACATAATTACTGATTATAATGACTTATACTGTCTTTTCCAATGTAATATTCATTTGTACTTTCGGAGAAACAACAAACAACAAGCTTACTCTACACTGCTCAAAACTCGCGTTTGAATCATCAGTGGCAAATTATTTAAATATAAAAAATGCACAAAATGTACAGGCTGTGAGTCAGAAGCGCCAGACTGTCCTTGCAAAGTTGTAACTGCACCACTTTATAGAAACAGCCTTTGTGCCACAGACGCATTGTAGGCTACTGGTTCAGGAAACAGTCCTCATCCTCCATA